CTCTCCCATGTATCTCGGAGACAAGCAGAGAGGAGGTGAGGGACTCTCTCCCATGTATCTCGGAGACTAGCAGAGAGGAGGTGAGGGACTCTCTCCCATGTATCTCGGAGACTAGCAGAGAGGAGGTGAGGGACTCTCTCCCATGTATCTCGGAAAACAAGCAGAGAGGAGGTGAGGGGCTTTCTCCCATGTATCTCGAGACTAGCAGAGAGGAGGTGAGGGACTCTATCCCATGTATCTCGGAGACTATCAGAGAGGAGGTGAGGGACTCTATCCCATGTATCTCGGAGACTAGCAGAGAGAGGAGGTGAGGGGCTCTCTCTCCCATGTATCTCAAAAGACAAGCAGAAAGGGGGTGAGGGACTCTATCCCATGTATCTCGGAGACTAGCAGAGAGGAGGTGAGGGGCTCCCTCCCATGTATCTCGAAAACAAGCAGAAAGGGGGTGAGGGGCTCCCTCCCATGTATCTCGGAGACTAGCAGAGAGGAGGTGAGGGGACTCCCTCCCATGTATCTCGGAGACAAGCAGAAAGGGGGGTGAGGGACTCTCCCATGTATCTCGGAGACTAGCAGAGAGGAGGTGAGGGACTCTCTCCCATGTATCTCAGAGACTAGCAGAGAGGAGGTGAGGGACTCTCTTCCATGTATCTCAGAGACAAGCAGAAAGGAGGTGAGGGACTCTCTCTCCATGTATCTCAGAGACTAGCAGAGAGGAGGTGAGGGACTCTCTCCCCATGTATCTCAGAGACAAGCAGAGAGGAGGTGAGGGACTCTCTCCCATGTATCTCGGAGACAAGCAAATAGGAGGTGAGGGGCTCTCTCCCATGTATCTCGGAGACAAGCAGAGAGGAGGTGAGGGGCTCTCTCCCATGTATCTCGGAGACAAGCAGAGAGGAGGTGAGGGACTCTCTCCCATGTATCTCAAAAAAGCAGGAGAAAAAGGTGAGGGACTCTCTCCCATGTATCTCGGAGACTAGCAGAGAGGAGGTGAGGGACTCTCTCCCATGTATCTCGGAGACAAGCAGAAAGGGGGTGAGGGACTCTCTCCCATGTATCTCAAAAACAAGCAGAAAGGGGGGTGAGGGACTCTATCCCATGTATCTCGGAGACTAGCAGAGAGGAGGTGAGGGGCTCCCTCCCATGTATCTCGAAAACAAGCAGAAAGGGGGTGAGGGACTCCCTCCCATGTATCTCGGAGACTAGCAGAGAGGAGGTGAGGGGCTCCCTCCCATGTATCTCGGAGACAAGCAGAAAGGGGGTGAGGGACTGTCTCCCATGTATCTCGGAGACTAGCAGAGAGGAGGTGAGGGACTCTCTCCCATGTATCTCAGAGACTAGCAGAGAGGAGGTGAGGGACTCTCTTCCATGTATCTCGAGACAAGCAGAAAGGAGGTGAGGGACTCTCTCCCCATGTATCTCAGAGACTAGCAGAGAGGAGGTGAGGGACTCTCTCCCATGTATCTCAGAGACAAGCAGAGAGGAGGTGAGGGACTCTCTCTCCCATGTATCTCAGAGACAAGCAAATAGGAGGTGAGGGGCTCTCTCCCATGTATCTCGGAGACTAGCAGAGAGGAGGTGAGGGGCTCTCTCCCATGTATCTCGGAGACAAGCAGAGAGGAGGTGAGGGGCTCTCTCCCATGTATCTCAGAGACAAGCAGAGAGGAGGTGAGGGACTCTCTCCCATGTATCTCGGAGACTAGCAGAGAGGAGGTGAGGGACTGTCTCCCATGTATCTCGGAGACAAGCAGAGAGGAGGTGAGGGGCTCTCTCCCATGTATCTCGGAGACAAGCAGAGAGGAGGTGAGGGACTCTCTCCCATGTATCTCGGAGACAAGCAGAGAGGAGGTGAGGGGCTCTCTCCCATGTATCTCAGAGACAAGCAGAGAGGAGGTGAGGGACTCTCTCCCTTGTATCTCGGAGACAAGCAGAGAGGAGGTGAGGGACTGTCTCCCATGTATCTCGGAGACAAGCAGAGAGGAGGTGAGGGACTCTCTCCCAGGTATCTCGGAGACTAGCAGAGAGGGAGGTGAGGGACTCTCTCCCATGTATCTCGGAGACTAGCAGAGAGGAGGTGAGGGACTTTCTCCCATGTATCTCGGAGAACTAGCAGAGAGAAGGTGAGGGACCCCCTCCCATGTATCTCGGAGACTAAGCAGAGAGGAGGTGAGGGGACTTTCTCCCATGTATCTCGGAGACTAGCAGAGAGAAGGTGAGGGACTCCCTCCCATGTATCTCGGAGACTAGCAGAGAGGAGGTGAGGGACTCTCTCCCATGTATCTCGGAGACTAGCAGAGAGGAGGTGAGGGACTCTCTCCCATGTATCTCGGAGACAAGCAGAGAGGAGGTGAGGGACTCTCTCCTATGTATCTCGGGAGGACAAGCAGAGAGGAGGTCAGGGGCTCTCTCCCATGTATCTCGGAGACAAGCAGAGAGGAGGTGAGGGACTCTCTCCCATGTATCTCAGAGACAAGCAGAAAGGAGGTGAGGGACTCTCTCCCATGTATCTCAAAGACAAGGAGAGAGAAAAAGGTGAGGGACTCTCTCCCATGTATCTCGGAGACTAGCAGAGAGGAGGTGAGGGACTCTCTCCCATGTATCTCGGAGACAAGCAGAGAGGAGGTGAGGGGCTCTCTCCCATGTATCTCGGAGACAAGCAGAGAGGAGGTGAGGGGCTCTCTCCCATGTATCTCGGAGACAAGCAGAGAGGGAGGTGAGGGGCTCTCTCCCCATGTATCTCGGAGAGACAAGCAGAGAGGAGGTGAGGGGACTCTCTCCCATGTATCTCGGAGACAAGCAGAGAGGAGGTGAGGAACTGTCTCCCATGTATCTCGGAGACAAGCAGAGAGGAGGTGAGGGACTCTCTCCCATGTATCTCGGAGACAAGCAGAGAGGAGGTGAGGGACTCTCTCCCAGGTATCTCGGGAGACTAGCAGAGAGGAGGTGAGGGACTCTCCCATGTATCTCGGAGACTAGCAGAGAGGAGGTGAGGGACTCCCTCCCATGTATCTCGGAGACTAGCAGAGAGGAGGTGAGGGACTCTCTCCCATGTATCTCGGAGACAAGCAGAGAGGAGGTGAGGGACTCTCTCCCATGTATCTCGGAGACAAGCAGAAAGGAGGTGAGGGACTCTCTCCCAGTATCTCGGAGACAAGCAGAGAGGAGGTGAGGGGCTCCCTCCCATGTATCTCGGAGACTAGCAGAGAGGAGGTGAGGGACTCTCTCCCATGTATCTCGGAGACTAGCAGAGAGGAGGAGAGGGACTCTCTCCCATGTATCTCGGAGACTAGCAGAGAGGAGGTGAGGGACTCTCTCCCATGTATCTCGGAGACTAGCAGAGAGGAGGTGAGGGGCTCCCTCCCATGTATCTCGGAGACTAGCAGAGAGGAGGTGAGGGGCCCCTCCCATGTATCTCGGAGACTAGCAGAGAGGAGGTGAGGGACTCTATTACATGTATCTCGGAGACTAGCAGAGAGGAGGTGAGGGACTCTCTCCCATGTATCTCGAAAACAAGCAGAGAGGAGGTGAGGGGCTTTCTCCCATGTATCTCGGAGACTAGCAGAGAGGAGGTGAGGGACTCTATCCCATGTATCTCGGAGACTATCAGAGAGGAGGTGAGGGACTCTATCCCATGTATCTCGGAGACTAGCAGAGAGGAGGTGAGGGGCTCTCTCCCATGTATCTCAAAAACAAGCAGAAAGGGGGTGAGGGACTCTATCCCATGTATCTCGGAGACTAGCAGAGAGGAGGTGAGGGCTCCCTCCCATGTATCTCGAAAACAAGCAGAAAGGGGGTGAGGGGGCTCCCTCCCATGTATCTCGGAGACTAGCAGAGAGGAGGTGAGGGGCTCCCTCCCATGTATCTCGGAGACAAGCAGAAAGGGGGTGAGGGACTGTCTCCCATGTATCTCGGAGACTAGCAGAGAGGAGGTGAGGGACTCTCTCCCATGTATCTCAGAGACTAGCAGAGAGGAGGTGAGGGACTCTCTTCCATGTATCTCAGAGACAAGCAGAAAGGAGGTGAGGGACTCTCTCCCATGTATCTCAGAGACTAGCAGAGAGGAGGTGAGGGACTCTCTCCCATGTATCTCAGAGACAAGCAGAGAGGAGGTGAGGGACTCTCTCCATGTATCTCAGAGACAAGCAAATAGGAGGTGAGGGGCTCTCTCCATGTATCTCGGAGACAAGCAGAGAGGAGGTGAGGGACTCTCTCCCATGTATCTCGGAGACAAGCAGAAAGGAGGTGAGGGACTCTCTCCCCATGTATATCAAAAACAAGGAGAAAAAAAGGTGAGGGACTCTCTCCCATGTATCTCGGAGACTAGCAGAGAGGAGGTGAGGGACTCTCTCCCATGTATCTCGGAGACAAGCAGAAAGGGGTGAGGGACTCTCTCCCATGTATCTCAAAAACAAGCAGAAGGGGGTGAGGGACTCTATCCCATGTATCTCGGAGACTAGCAGAGAGGAGGTGAGGGCTCCCTCCCCATGTATCTCGAAAACAAGCAGAAAGGGGGTGAGGGACTCCCTCCCATGTATCTCGGAGACTAGCAGAGAGGAGGTGAGGGGCTCCCTCCCATGTATCTCGGAGACAAGCAGAAAGGGGGTGAGGGACTCTCTCCCATGTATCTCGGAGACTAGCAGAGAGGAGGTGAGGGACTCTCTCCCATGTATCTCAGAGACTAGCAGAGAGGAGGTGAGGGACTCTCTTCCATGTATCTCAGAGACAAGCAGAAAGGAGGTGAGGGACTCTCTCCCATGTATCTCAGAGACTAGCAGAGAGGAGGTGAGGGACTCTCTCCCATGTATCTCAGAGACAAGCAGAGAGGAGGTGAGGGACTCTCCCCATGTATCTCAGAGACAAGCAAATAGGAGGTGAGGGACTGTCTCCCATGTATCTCGGAGACAAGCAGAGGAGGTGAGGGACTCTCTCCCATGTATCTCGGAGACAAGCAGAGAGGAGGTGAGGGACTCTCTCCCAGGTATCTCGGAGACTAGCAGAGAGGAGGTGAGGGACTCTCTCCCATGTATCTCGGAGACTAGCAGAGAGGAGGTGAGGGACTCCCTCCCATGTATCTCGGAGACTAGCAGAGAGGAGGTGAGGGACTCTCTCCCATGTATCTCACGGAGACAAGCAGAGAGGAGGTGAGGGACTCTCTCCCATGTATCTCGGAGACAAGCAGAGAGGAGGTGAGGGGACTCTCTCCCATGTATCTCGGAGACAAGCAGAGAGGAGGTGAGAGGGGCTCTCTCCCCATGTATCTCAGAGACAAGCAGAGAGGAGGTGAGGGACTCTCTCCCATGTATCTCGGAGACTAGCAGAGAGGAGGTGAGGGACTGTCTCCCATGTATCTCGGAGACAAGCAGAGAGGAGGTGAGGGGCTCTCTCCCATGTATCTCGGAGACAAGCAGAGAGGAGGTGAGGGACTCTCTCCCATGTATCTCGGAGACAAGCAGAGAGGAGGTGAGGGGCTCTCTCCCATGTATCTCAGAGACAAGCAGAGAGGAGGTGAGGGGACTCTCTCCCTTGTATCTCGGAGACAAGCAGAGAGGAGGTGAGGGACTGTCTCCCATGTATCTCGGAGACAAGCAGAGAGGAGGTGAGGGACTCTCTCCCAGGTATCTCAGAGACTAGCAGAGAGGAGGTGAGGGACTCTCTCCCATGTATCTCGGAGACTAGCAGAGAGGAGGTGAGGGACTTTCTCCCATGTATCTCGGAGACTAGCAGAGAGAAGGTGAGGGACTCCCTCCCATGTATCTCGGAGACTAGCAGAGAGGAGGTGAGGGACCTTCTCCCATGTATCTCGGAGACTAGCAGAGAGAAGGTGAGGGACTCCCTCCCATGTATCTCGGAGACTAGCAGAGAGGAGGTGAGGGACTCTCTCCCATGTATCTCGGAGACTAGCAGAGAGGAGGTGAGGGACTCTCTCCCATGTATCTCGGAGACAAGCAGAGAGGAGGTGAGGGACTCTCTCCCATGTAGATTTGCAGACAGCAATACAGTCACATTATATTTAATAGTAAGGAGCCACTGGGGTAAGCATCAAGTAAACATGTTTTCCCTGTTGATGTGATGAAAGCAGAACAAATGGACAAGTGTAAGGATTGGAGGGACTATGACAAGGACCAAAAATTGTAATGTCTAGATGACTGGGTCAGAACAACTCCAAACTGCAGCTCTTGTGGGATGTTCCCGGACTGCAGTGGTCAGAACAGACCAAAAGTGGTTCAAGGACAGAGAACCAGCCAACCAGTGACATGGAGATGGGGAGGCTCATTGATGAAGGTGAGGGGGAGGGAAGGCTCATTGATGGAGGGGAGGGAAGGCTGATTGATGGAGGGGAGGGAAGGCTGATTGATGGAGGGGAGGGAAGGCTGATTGATGGAGGGGAGGAAGGCTGATTGATGGAGGGGAGGGAAGGCTGATTGATGGAGGGGAGGGAAGGCTGATTGATGGAGGGGAGGAGGGAAGGCTGATTGATGGAGGGGAGGGAAGGCTGATTGATGGAGGGGAGGGAAGGCTCATTGATGGAGGGGAGGGAAGGCTCATTGATGGAGGGGAGGGAGAGGGAAGGCTCATTGATGGAGGGGAGGGAGAGGAAGGCTCATTGATGGAGGGGAGGGAGAGGGAAGGCTCATTGGACATTAGAGTGTAAGCTCCTCTGTACAGAGACTGATGTGACTGGCTCAGTGTTCTATGTACAGCACTGTGGTATATGTCAGAGCTATATAAATGTATTATAGTGTGTGGCTGTGGGGGAGGGGACATTAGAGTGTAAGCTCCTCTGGTACAGAGACTGATGTGACTGTGGGGGAGGGGACAATAGAGTGTAAGCTCCTCTCGTACAGAGATTGATGTGACTGTGGGGGAGGGGATATTAGAGTGTAAGCTCCTCTCGTACAGAGATTGATGTGACTGTGGGGGAGGGGACAATAGAGTGTAAGCTCCTCTGGTACAGAGACTGATGTGACTGTGGGGGAGGGGACATTAGAGTGTAAGCTCCTCTAGTACAGAGACTGATGTGACTGTGGGGGAGGGGACAATAGAGTGTAAGCTCCTCTCGTACAGAGATTGATGTGACTGTGGGGGAGGGGACATTAGAGTGTAAACTCCTCTGGTACAGAGACTGATGGGACTGTGGGGGAGGGGACATTAGAGTGTAAGCTCCTCTGGTACAGAGACTGATGTGACTGTGGGGGAGGGGACATTAGAGTGTAAGCTCCTCTAGTACAGAGACTGATGTGACTGTGGGGGAGGGGACATTAGAGTGTAAGCTCCTCTGGTACAGAGACTGATGTGACTGTGGGGGAGGGGACATTAGAGTGTAAGCTCCTCTAGTACAGAGACTGATGTGACTGTGGGGGAGGGGACAATAGAGTGTAAGCTCCTCTCGTACAGAGATTGATGTGACTGTGGGGGAGGGGACATTACAGTGTAAACTCCTCTGGTACAGAGACTGATGGACTGTGGGGGAGGGGACATTAGAGTGTAAGCTCCTCTCGTACAGAGACTGATGTACCTGGCTCGATGTTCTCTGTACAGCACTGCGGTATATGTCAGAGCTATATAGATTAATTGTAATACTATGAATTGAATTCTCATCTCTTTCAGAGACAAACTGCTCTTACTTCAAGCATTTCACGTCTGGAGAAAACGCGGAGATATTACAAGTCACCACTCAGAAAGGTATGGCAGACGTACGCTGAGCCTCTATGAGATCTACATCTGGTGGACACATTACTGAACATCGGTCCTTAAAGACACATTACAGTCCGCACATCTGAGCTCCTCACATCAGGTCTGTAGGGCTCACGGCCTCCTGAAATAGAATTCCCCCTTTGACTCAGGCGCCTGTATCATCCTGAGGACACAAGGCTGGCCAATCACAGCAATTAATAAGATAAATCTGAAATAATCAAAAACTGACTGATGATTAGTGGAACTTGGAGAACAAAACAAAATCATTAACCTGCTGCAATGATCATAGGGGGTGGGGGTCTGCTTACTATGGATTAATATGCTGTATATGTGATAATTGCTCCACCTCTCTGTATCGGAGGGGGCGGTAATAACATGATGGAGTCATATTGCCCATCTAATGCAGGCCATACAAGGGTCGAATTCCAAACACATTTTCTTTAGAAAATCAGAAATTTTATGCATTTTTTATTATATTGTAAACTGTTGGCACCATATAAATCCTGTATAATAATAATATTCCCATGGTGTCACCATTGAGTTCAATATTTGACCAACCGAGCCTCTAACTTCACCTCATGTTGGTAGAGAAAATCATTTTCTTTTCTTTCCAGCTCACGCTCATTTCTTTTGGGATTACATTTCTCGCACGACTCTCCCATTATTGATTGGAAATTTGTTCCTTTTTCAAAAAAATTCCAATGTCCCCGATCACTCAAATTCCATGGTCACTAAAAAATCGTCCATTGCTGTGGCCCACTAATCGTGTGAAATTCGACTGGAAGACTGAAACTTCTAAAGAAAATTCTTTCAGAATTCGACCCGCGTAGAATAATTCTAAAGCCAGTCATGCACGGGCCGAATTCAAAAAGACTTTTCTCTTCCAAAGATCTTTTCTAAGACTTTTCATTTTGAATTTCGCACCATTAGTGGGCCACAGCAATGGCCGATTTTTGAGTGACCATCGAATTTGAGTGATTGGGCATGTTGGAAATTGTTTTGAAAAAACGAATGAATTTCTAATCAATAATAGAAGAAATGTAATTGAAAAAGAAATGAGCGTGACCTGGAAAGAAAACAAAATTCTTTTCTGTAGTAACATGAGGTGAAATTAAAGGCTCGGTTTGTCGAATTTCAAAATCAATGATGGCGCCATCGATTAGAAAACGTACAAATTTATTTTTTCTAAGGAAATTTTGTTTGGAATTCGATCCGTGTATGGCCTGCATAAGAGTCACATAGCTTAGGGTTGAGAAGTATAAAATCTCACACCTGCACAGGGGCGGACTGACCATATTGGAAACTAGGGCACTGCCCGAGGGCCCGGGGTCAGTAGGGGGCCCCATGAGATGCCCCTGGTACTTTCTTCATAGGCTTTTTTGAGTTTGGGCAAGGACACAGGGGCCCCGTGATCCCCTATTGCCCGGGGGCCCCATGTATTGTCAGTCCTCCCCTGCACCTGCCTGATGAGTATGAAGAGGACTATAGACCTTCATGGTGTTATTTTGTAACTTCATAGTTGAGGCCCAATAGTGACATTCCACCAATTATACCAAATCTTCCTCTTAGAGCCTGAAAAATATTGCCACCACTCCTCATATTGTGGGCAACAGCCAGGGCCGGGACAAGGGGTGGGCAGGAGGGCAGCTGCCCTGGCGCAGCGGGTTACTGTCTGGATGGGGGCGCCAGTGAGCTCATTCTGATACAAGGCATTTTGACCAGTGGATGGATGCTGGGGGTAGCATCCCCGAAGCTCACACATAATGAAGGGAGGGGGGGGGTCAGGGGCGGACTGACAACTCGTGGGGCCCCCAGGCAACAGGGGATCATGGGGCCCCTGTGTCCTTGCCCAAACTCAAAAAAGTCTATGAAAAAGTTAACCAAGGGCATCTCATGGGGCCCCCTACTGACCCCGGGCCCTCAGGCAGTGACCGAGTTTCCAAATGGTCAATCCGCCCCTGGGTCGGGTAGAAATCCAACGCAATGAGAAATGTAGACGAGGATATAGAAGATATAATACACAGGAGATCGCTATGTTGTATTTATTCCTGAAATACAAAGTCTGACCTGTATATAAGTAGACAGAAGAATCACAGGGACCGGATTCCTCATCTCATCGCCACATTCTTATTTGTACTCATCGATCTTTCCTCACACTCCACCCAAAGCAGACTGTATGGTTGTGGATGGAGGTGTCAGGGCTGGGAACACCCTCCTTACACCCACTCCTGTCTCTGCAGAATACAGCATCTCAGCGGCAGCCATCGCCATCATTGGGGTCGGCTTCATGACGATGGGCACCATCTGCACCCTGCTGTCCTTTAGGAGAAGCTGGACTACCTACTCAAACCGGCCGGCCTCTTCTACGTGTTCGCAGGTCAGTGCGCATTTATATTGGACACATATATACAGACTTCTCATCCCAGAGGAACCATCAAAAAACATGTTTAGGTTTCGGGGGAGCCCTGCTTCAGCCAAGTCATTGGGAAGAATGTCCCTTACATTGGGGTTCAGTGTGAAGAATGTCCCTTACATTGGGGGTCAGTGTGAAGAATGTCCCTTACATTGGGGATCAGTGGGAAGAATGTCCCTTACATGGGGGTCAGTGGGAAGAATGTCCCTTACATTGGGGGTCAGTGGGAAGAATGTCCCTTACATTGGTGATCAGTGGGAAGAATGTCCCTTACATTGGGGGTCAGTGGGAAGAATGTTCCTTACATTGGTGGTCAGTGGGAAGAATGTCCCTTACATTGGAGGTCAGTGTGAAGAATGTCCCTTACATTGGGGGTCAGTGGGAAGAATGTCCCTTACATTGGGGGTCAGTGGGAAGAATGCCCCTTACATTGGGGGTCAGTGGGAAGAATGCCCCTTACATTGGGGGTCAGTGGGAAGAACGTCCCTTACATTGGGGGTCAGTGGGAAGAATGTCCCTTACATTGGGGGTCAGTGGGAAGAATGTCCCTTACATTGGAGGTCAGTGTGAAGAATGTCCCTTACATTGGGGATCAGTGGGAAGAATGTCCCTTACATTGGTGATCAGTGGGAAGAATGTCCCTTACATTGGGGGGTCAGTGGGAAGAATGTCCCTTACATTGGGGGTCAGTGGGAAGAATGTCCCTTACATTGGTGATCAGTGTGAAGAATGTCCCTTACATTGGGGGTCAGTGGGAAGAATGTCCCTTACATTGGAGGTCAGTGGGAAGAATGTCCCTTACATTGGGGGTCAGTGGGAAGAACGTCCCTTACATTGGGGGTCAGTGGGAAGAATGTCCCTTACATTGGAGGTCAGTGGGAAGAATGTCCCTTACATTGGGGGTCAGTGGGAAGAATGTCCCTTACATTGGGGGGTCAGTGGGAAGAATGTCCCTTACATTGGTGATCAGTGGGAAGAATGTCCCTTACATTGGGGGTCAGTGGGAAGAATGTCCCTTACATTGGTGATCAGTGGGAAGAATGGCCCTTACATTGGAGGTCAGTGTGAAGAATGTCCCTTACATTGGGGGTCAGTGGGAAGAATGTCCCTTACATTGGGGGTCAGTGGGAAGAATGTCCCTTACATTGGAGGTCAGTGGGAAGAATGTCCCTTACATTGGGGGTCAGTGGGAAGAATGTCCCTTACATTGGGGGGTCAGTGGGAAGAATGTCCCTTACATTGGTGATCAGTGGGAAGAATGTCCCTTACATTGGGGGTCAGTGGGAAGAATGTCCCTTACATTGGTGATCAGTGGGAAGAATGGCCCTTACATTGGTGGTCAGTGGGAAGAATGTCCCTTACATTGGTGGTCAGTGGGAAAGAATGTCCCTTACATTGGTGGTCAGTGGGAAGAATGTCCCTTACATTGGTGGTCAGTGGGAAGAATGTCCCTTACATTGGTGGTCAGTGGGAAGAATGTCCCTTACATTGGTGATCAGTGGGAAGAATGTCCCTTACATTGGTGGTCAGTGGGAAGAATGTCTCTTACATTGGTGGTCAGTGGGAAGAATGTCTCTTACATTGGTGGTCAGTGGGAAGAATGTCCCTTACATTGGTGGTCAGTGGGAAGAATGTCTCTTACATTGGGGGTCAGTGGGAAGAATGTACCTTACATTGAGGGTCAGTGGGAAGAATGTCCCTTACATTGGGGGTCAGTGGGAAGAATGTCCCTTACATTGGGGGTCAGTGGGAAGAATGTCCCTTACATTGGGGGTCAGTGGGAAGAATGTCCCTTACATTGGGGGTCAGTGGGAAGAATGTCCCTTACATTGGGGTCAGTGGGAAGAATGTACCTTACATTGGGGATCAGTGGGAAGAATGTCCCTTACATTGGGGTCAGTGGGAAGAATGTCCCTTACATTGGGGGTCAGTGGGAAGAATGTCCCTCACATTGAGGGATCAGTGGGAAGAATGTCCCTTACATTGGGGGTCAGTGGGAAGAATGTCCCTTAAATTGGGGATCAGTGGGAAGAATGTCCCTTACATTGGGGGTCAGTGGGAAGAATGTCCTTACATTGGTGATCAGTGGGAAGAATGTCCCTTACATTGGAGGTCAGTGGGAAGAATGTCCCTTACATTGGGGGTCAGTGGGAAGAATGTCCCTTACATTGGGGGTCAGTGGGAAGAATGGCCCTTACATTGGGGGTCAGTGGGAAGAATGTCCCTTACATTGGGGGTCAGTGGGAAGAATGTCCCTTACATTGGGGATCAGTGGGAAGAATGTCCCTTACATTGGGGATCAGTGGGAAGAATGTCCCTTACATTGGGGGTCAGTGGGAAGAATGTCCCTTACATTGGGGGTCAGTGGGAAGAATGTCCCTTACATTGGGGGTCAGTGGGAGGAATGTCCCTTACATTGGTGGTCAGTGGAAGGAATACATTGGGGGTCAGTGGGAAGAATGTCCCTTACATTGGGGGTCAGTGGAAGGAATACATTGGGGGTCAGTGGGAAGAATATCCCTTACATTGGGGGTCAGTCAGTGGGAAGAATGCTCCCTTACACTGGTGTGGTTAGAGGGATACATTGGGGGTCAGTGGGAGGAATACATTGGGGGTCAGTGGGAGGATACATTGGGGGTCAGTGGGAGGGCTCCCTACATTGGGGTCAGTGGGGAGGGATACATTGGGGGTCAGTGGAAGGAATACATTGGGGTCAGTGGAGGGAATACATTGGGGGTCAGTGGGAGGGATACATTGGGGTCAGTGGGAGGAATACATTGGGTCAGTGTGAGGGATACATTGGGGGTCAGTGGGAGGAATACATTGGGGGTCAGTGGGAGGGATACATTGGGGGTCAGTGGGAGGGATACATTGGGGGTCAGTGGAGGAATACATTGGGGGTCAGTGGGAGGGATACATTGGGGGTCAGTGGAAGGAATACATTGGGGGTCAGTGGGAGGAATACATTGGGGGTCAGTGGGAAGAATACATTGGAGGTCAGTGGGAGGGATACATTGGGGGTCAGTGGGAGGAATACATTGGGGTCAGTGGGAGGGATACATTGGGGGTCAGTGGGAGGGATACATTGGGGGTCAGTGGGAAGAATGCTCATTACTCTTGTATCAGAGAACGGCACCATACTGCAGGAGTCTTCTGGGGCAATGGAAGGATATGGATTTGTAGATCAGTCCCCTGACATGTGGTTTCCGTGTTGCAGGTTTGTGTATGATCATCTCGGCGGAGGTCATCAGGCAGTCTGTGCACAGGATGATTGACAGCAAGGAGACCGTGTGGATTGAGTATTACTACTCCTGGTCCTTCGCCTGTGCCTGTGCCGCCTTCGCTCTGCTCTTCATTTGTGGAATCGCCCTGGTGCTCATTTCCTTACCCCGGATGCCCAGGAACCCATGGGAGACATGTATGGACGCTGAGCCCGAGATCTGAGGGGCCCTATGTCATCACTGCACTCCAGATGGCAGATTTAAATGTTGATGGTCTCCAGGGGCCCCAAAAGCCTTCAGACCAACAAAGACCGCAGCTCATCAAATTCATATGTCATATCTGCTGATCTGTACAATTCCGTCTCCATGTCAGCAGGATGGAGAAGGTTCTTTACTGTATATAGCTACATGGAGGGTCATAGAGTTCATGGTTGATTGTAATGTTTTATCCCGGAGTGTCTCTGACCTGCTGTCCCCCTCGTCTGCCTGGACAAGCCAATGTCAGAGAACTGACCCACCAATACTCTGACTGTCCCGGGGACTGAAGATTTACCTCCAGAAACGTCCTGGATTTTCTAGAATGATGAACTATAGAAGGAAGATCCCTCATTTTTGTTTCTGCATGCAAAATTCTGTTCTTCTACTCTGTTAAAAGTCAAAACTATTTTTGTTTTGGATGAAGTGTGGAAGGGTTAGACCCTCTGTCAGGTTTTTATTGCTGGGGATATTACATGAGTCTATGTATACAAATATCATCAATATCCTATTGCGTCTAGACCATTCTGAGGTTACATAATATATAGGTTCCAATGAATGGGATGTGTCTGAACCCCTGAAACGCGTTGGCTGTCTTTTTCTACCAATTATTCAATTAAAAACTTTTCTGGACTCTACAATCACTGGCGTGGTGCCCTTACTGCTTTCTACCAATTTGGCCTTTCCTCTGGACCCCCCCAATTTGTTGGGGGTACTCCAATACACGTGACAAACAGTAATAAACAATCACCTCTTATGTACACTGAGATTCCTGCTCTCTATGTACCCGGTGACCATTATCACCGCTACAAAAAGTGAGAGGGAATCCAACCATTGGAGAGAAGAGAGGGAGGCAGAGTGACCTCACAAATCTCCCAACACAAACAATAATAAACGCACATTTTATACCTGCAAACTAGAAAAAATAATGTGCATTTACTATTCTTTGAGCAATTTATCCTTTAAGAACTGCAAATGATGTCAACAAAACGAATCCTTTTTGGAACCGACTACAAAGACCATTTATATGTTTGCACTGTACCAAGTGTCCCTTTTCATAGATCGCAGGTTACGTGGTCTGCGCGTGCATTTAATAGATCGCAGGTTACGGTCTGCGCGTGCATTTCATAGATCGCAGGTTATGGTCCGCGCGAGATCGCAGTTTCCATGCGTTTCACAGATCGCAGGTTACGCTGCATTTCATAGATCGCAGTTACACTCGCGAGTGTCATAGATCGCGCGTTACGCTCCGCGATTTTCATAGATCGCAGGTTACACTGGTCGCGTGTCATAGCACAGTGCGAGTTTCATATGGCAGAGCTCCGCGGTTTCAAGATGGCGGTTACATGCGTTTCATAGATCGCACTCCGCGAGTTACGATCACAGGTTACACTCCGCGAGTTTCATAGATGGCACAGGTTACGCTCCGTGAGTTCATAGATCACAGGTTACACTCCGCGAGTGTCATAGATCGCAGGTTACGCTCCGCGAGTTTCATAGATCGTAGGTTACGCTCCGCGAGTGTCATAGATCACAGGTTACGCTCCGCGCGATCGTAGTTACGCTCCGCGAGTCATAGATCGCAGGTTACGCTCCGCGAGTGTCATAGATCGCAGGTTACGCTCCGCGAGTTTCATAGATCGCAGGTTACGCTCCGCGAGTTTCATAGATCGCAGGTTACGCTCCGCGAGTTTCATAGATCGTAGGTTACGCTCCGCGAGTTTCATAGATGGCAGGTTACGCTCCGCGAGTTTCATAGATCGTAGGTTACACTCCGCGAGTGTCATAGATCGCAGGTTACGCTCCGCGAGTTTCATAGATGGCAGGTTACGCTCCGCGAGTTTCATAGATCGTAGGTTACACTCCGCGAGTGTCATAGATCGTAGGTTACAGGTTGTCATAGATCGCAGGTTACGCTCCGCGAGTTTCATAGATGGCAGGTTACGCTCCTGCGAGTTTCATAGATCGTAGGTTACACTCGTGTCATAGATCGCAGTTACACTCCGCGAGTGTCATAGATCGCAGGTTACGCTCCGAGTGTCATAGATCACAGGTTACGCTCATTTCATAGATGGCAGGTTACGCTCCGCGAGTTTCATAGATCGTAGGTTACACTCCACGAGTGTCATAGATCACAGGTTACGCTCCGCGAGTGTCATAGATCGGCAGGTTACGCTCTGCGAGTTTCATAGATCGCAGGTTACACTCCGCGAGTTTCATAGATCGCAGGTTACACTCCGCGAGTGTCATAGATCGCAGGTTACGCTCCGCGAGTGTCATAGATCGCAGGTTACGCTCCGCGAGTGTCATAGATCGCAGGTTACGCTCCGCGAGTGTCATAGATCGCAGGTTACGCTCCGCGAGTGTCATAGATCGCAGGTTACGCTCCGCGAGTTTCATAGATCGCAGGTTACGCTTCGCGAGTGTCATAGATCGCAGGTTACGCTCCGCGAGTGTCATAGATCGCAGGTTACGCTCCGCGAGTTTCATAGATCGAAGAGGACCGACAGTGAAAGGGTTAGAGGACATCCCAGCAATTCCATTGATCGGAGCATAGTGGTCACCATTGGTGTATGGCATCATACCGCTACATCAGTCTATAGCCACACTCGTCTCCACAGGGGAATAGAGAGCACTCCTATAGGTGACTAAGAGGCAGCGGGGTCCAGGTCCTGTCTTTAGCATTTTATTCCTGGAGGAGACCTTCTCCCTCACTGATCCATAGTGCAGGAGTTGCGATTTGTGAGATTCAGATGAAATGTGCGATAGTCGCGATCCAATGTCACAAATAAAAAACAAACTTCAACAAACCCAAAATAAATGATCACCAAAACAACAAATTAATTTGTGTCCTTCGGATGACAGGATGGGACGGATTTGGTCCTTTCCTCAAGGTTTGAAGCAACTGAAATAATGTAAGGATACAATGAATGATCCGAATTTATTCCATTCTATTCTAGTGCCCATTGTGCCCGTTTCTAGCAGGAATAAGCCCAAACAGGGAGGACCAATGGAATGGCGCGGGTGTCCTGTAACTCTTTCATTGCCGGTCCTGATGAAGTGGCGCTATTCTGTGAAACGCGTAGACCGCAACCTTCTGCTGTGAAATGGGACACTCAGTATGATACAAATAAGTGGTCTTTGTAGCTGGTCAAAAAAACAAAACATTGTATCAACCATGGTATGTGAAACTATTGCAGGATGGCACAAATACATTTGGAAAATTTTTACAGTCGTGTGTCAGATTTGCTTTTTCATGTCATACCAATACGAACACGAGAATGCCGACACATTTGTCATGGCAGCGATTTTCTGGGTGAAATGATGCGTTATCCCACAGAAATGCCAATATTTTTGGCCATGACTGTATATTTTTGTTATTTATATCCCCGGGGGACCATCCTAGAACGTCCCTGTTTTCACTTTGTGGTAGTCACGGAGGGGACCAGGAGGTAAACCTGTCCTCAAAGCAAGTGTCTGAAGCCAGCCATCCACGGATCGACGTTCAGCCAGGGAACAGACGAATTTCGATGTATGGGCACTGATCTACCAACCAACTTCTGTACAACCGCCCTGTCGGATTTTCTCCGCTCGATCAGTGCTGCAGGCTATAGCCGGCAGTGCTGATCAGTGTGTTCTGATGGCGGGGGAAGTCTTCCTGCTGTCCGTATACAATCCCTCAGCGGGAAGGATTCTGTAACACATCGTTCTCTGCCACCCGGGACTCTGTGTGCCGCCACACCACCCTCCACCTACCCCACAGGCAGCAAAGTGAGCCTATAAACTGCTGCAAAATGGCGACTTTGACTCTTGGGGGCTCCTCTCACATTCTCTGACTTCCTGTTGGTAAATTTTCACACCTTGGCCCCCGGCCCCCCCCCACGCACTTCATCCTCCAGAATCCAGGC